TGTAGGGTCTCCTGCTTGGGCCGGGGGTTGGAGTAGATGACCTACAAGACCCCTTCCAACTCTGTTAATCTAATCTAATCAAAGTTCTTCATGGAAAGGGAAGCCTTGCCAAATCATAATCCTTTCTCTTTCTTTTTCAGGCAGAGAAGTTACAGTTGAAGGACCAAGTGATCGAGTGCGCGGCCATGTGGCAGCTATTGAGCTTCTCCCTGGCTGCCTCTTTTCTCCTGCCTGCAATGGGTGAAGTGGTGATGAACTTCAAAGCCTGCAGCCAGTTCTTCTTGGATGGAAAACCTCCCGCCCTGAAGCCGATGAATCCAGCCAGAATCTGCCAGTTCTACCGGGGCAAGTATCGGTTTGCCACAATGTACGACAGAAACGGGCACATCCCTCTATTCTCGGCATATAAATATCAGCCTGGTGGGATGGGAAGGAGAAAGGATTGGAAGATCGAACCGCAGGTAAAAGGTGTTCCTATTTGAAGCTAGACTTTCATTAAATGGAGGCCACCTTAAAGGAACAATCAGACATTAGGAAATAATGAAAGGAAGTCAAGTTAAGAATTATTTGTAATAATTAATCCCAGGGTTCACCAGGACACGGGCTGTAAGAATTCTGTTGACCTCACTTTGCACAATGGTATTGGATTCTTTCCAGAGGTGGTATTCAGCCGGTTCTGACCAGTTCTGGAGAACAGGTAGCAGAAATTTTGAGTAGTTTGGAGAACTGGCAAATACCACCTCTGACTGGCTGCGCCAACCCCATCTATGCCCACCCTCCCTTTGAGTCCCAGCTGATCAGCTGGATCTTCTTTGATTGCCCTGCACAGGAGAACAGAGCTGGAAAGCAGGTTAGTGGGGTGGGGAGGGAATGGGATTTTGCAGTAACCTTCCCCCAGGAGTAGGATGGGAATGTAGATTTTTGCAGTATCCTTCCCCTGCCATGCCCTTCCCCTGCCAAGCCACGCCCACAGAACCGGTAGTAAAAAAAATAGAATCCCACCACTGAGTCTTTCCCCATAGAATGAAGTTCAGAAATCACCCAGAACCAAACAGGTCAAGGTCAAACAATGTGTAATCTCTACTAGGAGAAAGCTTAAAGTAGGCTGCGGACCTGGGTCTATCTGGAGCCTCAATTTCCAGAACTCCCAGAAACTACGCTGTTGACTAAGAGATCTGTAAGATGCTATTCCAATCTATCTGAAGGCCACCAAAGAATCATAAGGATGGAAGGGACCTCAGAGATCTTCTAGTCCAACCCCCTGCTCAAGGCAGGAGCCTTACACCATCCCAGGCAAATGGTTGTCTAGCCTATCAAATGGTTATCTAGTCTACAGAAATCTATTGTTTAATGAAAAGAAGGACTAAGGGTGACATGATAGCAGTGTTCCGATATCTCAGGGGCTGCCCCAAAGAAGAGGGGGTCAAGCTAGTCTCCAAAGCACCTGAGGGCAGGACAAGAAGCAATGGGTGGAAAGTAATCAAGGAGAGAAGCAACCCAGAACTAAGGACAAATTTCCTGACAGTTAGAAAAATTAAAAATTCTCCAACACTGGAAGTTTTTAAGAAGAGATTGGACAACCATTTCCTGCCTGAGCAGGAGGTTGGATAGAAGACCTCCAAAGTCCCTTCCAACTCTTCTCTTCTCTTCTACCCTACCCTACCCTGCCCTGCCCTACCCTACCCTACCCTACCCTACCCTACCCTATCCTATCTTATCCTATTCTATTCTATTCTTCCTTCCTTGCTTGCTTCCCTATTCTATTCTATTCTATTCTATTCTATTCTATTCTATTCTATTCT